TGGCAGTTTAAAGTGCCTTTTGAGTGGGCTGAGGAGAGATTTAGGCTCTCCACCCTGTGGGGTTTGAGAAATAGCAGAGGCCTCCAGTCTCCATCTTGTACAGCTGTATCAGCATTGTGATTAACATCTCATACCCCAGAAGATCACCTGTTGCCCAGACAATATTGAGCAAGATACATGTACTGCTTTGGGGTTTTTTGGGGTTCTTTGTTTTGTTTTCGTTTTTGTGTTTGTTTGTTAATTTCAACATTTTCCCTATAGATTTTTCTTTTCTTTTCTTTCTTCATTTTTCTAGTTTAAATACTGTTGCCTTTTTTTTAACAATTAGAACTTCATATTTGCTAGTGTTTCTACCCCTGTTATTTGGGGGTTTTGCCCAATTTTATCATGTAAAGTTTTCTTTTTGCTTGTTTTGGTTTGATCTATAGCATTTTTGTCTCTCCTTTCTACTTCGGTGGAGGTGGGGTGCTGTGTCCAAACAGGCTAACAAAGAGCTGCTGACCTCAAGGGAACCACCTAACCCAGCACCCCCAGATTGGGGGTTTTTAAGGTTGGGTCAAAGTACCCTGCTGTACACCTATATCATGCCTGCCTCCCTCTTTCTTTGCCTCTCTTCTTTTTGTTAATATTCCCCTTTACCCACCCCCTCTCCTTTCTCTTTTCTCTTCCTGCTCTTCAATCTTCTCACCATTCTGGTCCTGTACCAAAAGGACTCATTGAAACCCTAGTCCAGAGGCATGGTAGCTTAAAGAGCAAGAAGAAGTGAAAGGAAAATTAGGGCAAGGAAGCAGATAAATAACTCATGAGGAAGAACCAGCAGAAAAATCCCAGCAACATGAAAAACCAGTCCAGAGCAACCCCCCAAGGGATCGTGAGGTAGCTACTGCAGAGGATTCCACCTATAAAAAAATGTTAGAAATGACAGAAAGGGAATTTAGAATACAGATGATGAAAACAATGAAAGAAATGATGGAAACAATGAAGGAAACTGCAGATAAAGTGGAAAATAACCGCAAGGAAATCCAAAAACAAAATCAAAGAAGAGATGAACAATATGAAGAATATAGAAAGGATATAGCAGAGCTGATGGAACTGAAGCAGTCAATTAAAGAACTTAAAGATGGAATAGAAAGTATCAACAACAGATTTGACCATGCAGAAGAAAGAATCTCAGAGGTAGAGGACAAAGCTCTTGAGGTATCTTAGATAGTTAAAGAGGCAGAAAAAAAGAGAGAGAAAACATAATAGTCACTGACAGAATTATGGGACTTTATTAAGCGTTCAAACATACGAGTTATAGGTATCCCAGAAGGGGAAGAAGAATGCCCCAGGGGAATGGAAGCCATACTTGAGAATATTATAAGTGAAAATTTCCCATCAGAGTCTAACACATTCCTTTCAGAGGGATATTGGACCCCAGGTTGCCTTGACTCTAACTGAGCTTCTCCAAGACACATTGTGATGAACCTGTCCAAAGTCAAGACAAAAGAAAAGATTCTTCAAGCTGCCAAGAGTAAGCACCAGTTGATCTACAGGG